CGTATTGGCCAGGTCTTGTTGCATTGTATTTTCCTGATTTTTATTAATGAAACGTTAAATTAATATTTTTCCACTGAAATATTAAGGGTTATTGATTACAAGCACAAAATTACAATTGCTCTTTTTTTAATCTTGAGTTGAGCAAAAAGAACTAGCACCTGATATTTTCAGTCAGCCAATTCTTAAAGAACTGAGAATTTGGAAAACAGTTTAATGACAAAAATGGCTTTTGTGGTGAAGTCAGGAGAAAAATTCCAGCAGCCTTGCTAGTACCAGAGGCTGCCCTGCAAACTTCTGCAAAAAAAAAATAATAAATTCTCACCTGCTTGAATCTGACCTGGGATGGCAATGGCTGAAAACCGTTGTAACGCCACAGCTCCCGCATCAAGTCATGGGACCTTGGAGAAGTACAGCAACTGGGGCTTCAAAATTACCTTGACCTGGAGAACTCTTGATCTGTGGCTTCTCAGTACCGTTAAACTGGAGATCTTCAACTGAATTATTTGAGAGGGTGAGAGGAGGACCAAACAAACATTATTTCTTCATGATAAAGTATAGAAATGGGACTTAGTAGGCAGCCGTCTGTCTTTGTGAAGTACTGTCACCAAGACGACTGACATCTGTTTCCAGTTGGGTAATTAATTCAGGGGGATAATGGCTCATATATCATGTCATTATGGAGTATCATAAGTCATATGAAACCATAAGTCTCTGGTGGGTCCCTTCATAGGCATAATAAAGAGTTGTGGGAACCAGAGAAGCCTCGTGCCTAACAGAGCTGCCTCTCTTTTTTCACTCACCTGCTCTTTGCTGGGTGGTCAGGGCTCTGCAGGAAAATCCCTGCGTTGTTAAGAAGGGCAGGAGTTTGTGATCATTTAGGGATGGAAGGAATTGGCAGTCAGGAGGAAAAAGAGCATAAAGTATTGTTATGTGCAAAATGCAACACAAGTTTAATAGGGTTTGGACTGGATTTGGCTGTGCCTGGTATTGGTAAGCCACCAGGCATTCAATATTGCAGCTGATTCAGGCATATTAACATTTCAAAATATGCCAGTTATTACACCATGTAATCTTAGTTGGTATATGGGGTATGATTCTTTTGCCTTTTTTGTTTGCTTTTGGGTTGGGATTTTTCTTGGTGTTTTTTTTGTTTTAACTGTGTTAGTCACTGATGGCAGTTTTGTTGATAGGATTGGTAAAATCTTGAACTGTTGTCCATGCTGGGAAATTTTGTAGCAATCCTTTTTCAGATTTTCAGTTAAACTGGTCATGATGATCAGGTGAGCTGTGCTGCTTAGTCTGGACTCACTTTCTGGATGTACTGGGTACTGAATGTTTTAGGCGGCATTGTGGCAGGAAAGGGCAACATTCAATGTATCCTTCACATGCAAGTCCAGATGGCATGGGGTTTATTTCAATATAACCAACAATAAAATGGGTAGTAAAAATGAATTTAGCTAGCATTTTGAGCTGTTTAATTGCAGAAATAGGTAGATCACACCTTGTTGGCTTCTGTAAATTCTGCGGTGTTTGATGATGCTACCAGAGAATCACTAGTGCTGTTCTGATCACTCTCTCATTTTCCATATTGCAGTTAGTTTCTAGTATCTGAGTGCTGCTACGTGTTTAGCCCTGACGACCTGTGCTATTATGGTACTAATTTTAGCCCATACAGTAATTTTTTTATTTTTCCAGAAGAACAAGAATTAATGTCTTGAATTTCAGTAATCTTTATAATACTCAGTAAAAAATTGTAATAATAATTATAAAAATACAGTATTGTATCATATTATTCAATCAGAAGAAAAGATCAGGCTGAAGAATATTGCAGAAATAATACTCATTTTTATCTGAAGTAACTTGTTAACTTCAACATCTGCACATACACAGTCATTAGGGAGTTATTGGGCTACATGTGTTTGGTTTTTTAAAGCATCTGTCAACTAAGTCAGAAATCTAAATGCAAAGTGTTACGTTGGTTACATTTGCAGATCTCTTACATTTCCTAGTGGAATTTCATTTTGTATGCTAAAAATTGGAGAATATGGATGTAAAAATAGGATTAAATTTGTGTGCATATATTGTTTCTTTGGACAAATTACTTGCCCCATTCTCCTTTAATTGTGTTTTAGCATCAAATGTAATATGCGATGGACTTTTATTATTCGTGGCGCAGGTATCCTGTTTTGGATGTGGAAAGAGGCATGTCATATACATGTTGGGTGTTTTTTTTGTCCCAGTAATGAAATAACAGGCTGTGGAGGGCCTTAAGCTACTCTGAGCTGTTTCATGATGTGTTGCAGCTGATTCCTGCAGCCACGCTGCAAAGTGCACTTCATCATCATATATTAAGTAAGCTACAATCCATTTGACAAAATGCTTCACTGCATATAGCACTTAGGTGCATTGTATTGACTGCCCCTGTATTTCAGTATTACTGTGTTCACTGTTACTCAGTATATAGAAAATATTTGTGGGGAACTAACTTGCGGGCTAAATAAGTGCAAGACTTCTAATGGTTCTCTAATATGCATCATTAAGATATTTCTAAAATATTGCTTTAGGCAACTTTATCATTGCACACTGTTGACCTATATTTGTGATATTTGGCATTTTTTGTAAATACCGTTGAGGATATTCCGTAACAGAACAAGTTTTCAGAGTTTCAGGATGGTTGCTAAACTCTCATAACTCAGATACGGAAGCCTTTCAGAAAACAGTACTTTACATTTGTAATTTTAGTAACAAGTTTTCCAAGTAAGAAAATTACTCGGGAGTCCATTTCCAGAAGAATACAGCCATCTTCAGTTAACAAAGTCGTCCAGATGAGACCAGGCTACAGGAGCCTATGGACTGAGGACCGTGTGTTTTTGTAGGTTGCATCTTTAAATCTGTTCCACTTCGTCTTTGGAGCGACCACCATTTTAATGGAAAAACAAAGTGTGGAATAAGCTTAGCAGTGCTTACGGTGTTTAAAGATCTGTATTACTTTCAAACCGAGCATAGTTTTTGAAGTAATATAACTACTTAGACCCGTCTGTTGATCTCTTACATGCAAAGTCCCTCAAGACTCTTGTCCTTTTCTCTCCTCTGTGCAGCCAAAGATAGTTTCTCTGTGTGGTTTGATATAAGGCGATCAGAATGCTGAGGACCTCGAAACAACTCAGGAACTGTAGCTTGACTTAAAAATCTCTGGGTAAATGCTCTTAATGATGAGGAAGCATCATGAAAGAAGAAGGTTCACTGAAGTGCATTACCTGAGTAATGCTTAAAGCAGCTGCATTTCTTTCTTGTATTTCGTATAGTTAAACATGGAGATAAACTGTGCACCCTTCTGTTTAGCATTCAGTGCAAACTGAATGCATCATTAAGTCTCCTGCAGACCTCTGGCATTTTTGCATGTGCTGCGCTATCTCAGCTTTATTTGTGCTTCTCCAGATTTAGACTAATAGGAGAGCACACAGTGGGCTGGTGGGACACTGCAGCCTGGTTCTGCTTTTGAGCTGTAGGGTCTGCAGCAACCCTATGGGCTGCCTCTCAGAGGAAGACCTCCATCTGTTTCGTGTCATAGCCCATCGCTTTGTAGGTGCAAGCAAACATGATGTTCCTGGTGTTCAACAAGATCAGATGCCACAGGGACATCCAGCAGAGGAAGCATGGATGAATTCACGTGCTCATGGATAGGCAGGAGATCAGCCACCAGCACAGTGATGGTGTGATCCAGCTGAAATGCTGGATCTAAGAGATGTTGTAGGGAAGTTACTGGGGTTTGGGTTTTGTTTTCTGGTTCTTAAGAATGGTAGTTCTTAGTGGTCCTACTTACATTGGGTAGTTGTTCACTTAGGAGGTAGCATTTTCAGAGTTTTTTGGGGACTATTACATTTTCTAGGCTGAGTGAGAAATTCCTCTCGACTGAAGGGTGTTGACACACAGTGGTCCTAAATATAGTGGGAAGTACTGTCTTCTGAGAGAGAATGGAGGCAGCTCTAGTGTATGAAACCGTACATACAGTCTGGAAGAGTTACGTGAGGACACTGCTGTTTGCAGAGGCTTGCTTCAGCGATTCGGGGGTGCTTTACACTTGGAAGGCATTGTAACCATTAAAGAACAACATCCAAGTATGATATTTGGGGTTTTTTTCCACTAATGCTCAAGTTCCCAAATTGCTGCTTCTGCTCTCTCTGCTCTCCTGAGAGCAGGGCTGGTTTTGTACGTGGCAGGGGCACAGAGATGTAGAAGTGCGGAGTAGTTGCAGTAAATTTGGAACACCTTTTTTGGCAGTGCTTTTGGAGTTTGGACAAGCACAAGGTATTTGAACCTATCCATTGATTGTCACATTTGTGTTCGACAGAGCTTTTTTTTCATTGCGTCAGATAAAAGTGATGCACCTCCAGGACGAAGTTTTTCCATCTTGTGTTTCTCGTGTAAGGATTATTCTATGTGATAATGCAAACTCTACATGTCATTTGGAGATTGCCCATGAAAGGCATGGTGAATAGATTTAAAAGATAACGTTTATTCATTGTGCAGCTCCTTTTCTCCTTCCTGGCTCTCTCTAAGGATTCATTGGCTGTTCTTCACTCTCTTCCTCATGCATCCTGTGAATCCCTTTTATCCTCATCACTCATGGTTTGACTGCTCCTCTATATTTCTTTCTCCATTTTTCTCCTCCCCTGCCCTTGCTTTTGCTCCTGCTCTACTGCTTTCTTTTCCTGTTTCATTTTCCTTTCCTCCTTACTTATTTTTGAGACTATTTTTTATTTCAGTTTTCCATGTCTACTGCTTTGGTTTCTTCCTTCATTTTTCCTCTGTTTGATCTCGCCTCTCATTATCTCTGCTGATTGTTTGCCTTGCACTGCTCCCTGTCTGCTTAGCCTGGGTAGTGGACGAACTTATTAAAAAGTTTAAAGGTAAAATGGCTTCACTCTGAATGGTTCTTCATTTAATGATTGTAATATATTCTTCTTAATGAGGAATTTTGGTTATTGTTTCAGGTCTTAAAAATTAGCTTGATTGGTCACCGGAAGCGCGTTCTGGCATCTTTGGGAGACAGGCTTCACGAAGACCCTCCTCAGAAACCACCTCGGTCAATAACCCTCAGGGTGAGTCCCTATGAAAACTCGTTTGCATTTCTCTACAGGTCAGCAAGTATTTCAGAGCATCAACATGAAAGCAACAGCTGCTTCAAGTGGGGTTCAGCTTTCCTCACTTCAGAAGTTTACGGTGTAGACATCTTAGTCTGCTTAGTTGCACCTCCCTGTACAGCCAGCAGAGATAAATTAACATTTTTACAGGGTGATTCATCTGACCTGTTTCAAATATCTGCCTTAGGATGAGATAAGTAGTATCTTAGAAGTACCAGCTTATCTTCTTTGCTCAAGAAACTAGCTCAGGACCAGATGTGTACAAGCTGCACATCTACATTTGCCCACAGGAATCTCAGCCCTGCCAACTGATGCTACAGAAGAAGAGTTAGGATTTTCCTCTCATGTTTTCAAATGCTTGCACTTATTTTCCAGGCATATGCTTTATTCTTTCTTTAAAGAAAACCTCTTGAAATTGTTGAGATACAAATACCATTAAGATGTCTGTGCGTATCAAAAGTTCTTTCCCTTATTATAATTTGCATTCATATTCCTTCTTCAAGAAACCTTGTTGCAACATCCCTGGGGTTTTTCAACACTTGACTAGATTTAATGTCCTCCTGTTACACCACCTTCAGTCAGTGTCTTCGATCCAGTGCTTTACTTCTTTGCTGTCTGATATACTTATCAGGTTGTGGTCTAAAGACCCATTCCTATTGTGTTCTCTCCAAGGGAGTTCATATCAACACTTTTAATTTTGATATTTATGGTCACACCTTTTGCATTTGATTGGATCTGATTATTTTCATGGGGATGCATTTCTGACTGGAATCTCATTTGGGACTAGTTTTCCAAATGTCAGGAAGTGTCCGTGCTCCCATGTTAAATTACCTGGTGTAAAGTGAAATAGAGAAAGACAGAATGAGGGCTTATTTTTAGATACACTTAAAATTTCAATGACCACCCTGATTTCACCCTGCTTATTCTCAGATGCCACATATAGACATTCTAGATCCCTCCCAAATTCAACTTATTCCTAATGCCATGTGGAAAAAGGTCTCGCGAGTCTATAACATCCTCTTCTAATGCATATTGCACAATGGTGTGGATATTTTTCTTGTATTCTTTTTATGTATTATGTGAATAATTCCTGATGCATGACAGGTGTTAAAACACTCCCAGGAAAGAGGGATCATTTGAAGGTCGCACATTTTTACTCAATACTTTCAGTGCTCTGGACTGGGGTATTAGTTCGTCTTCAGCAGGTGAGGAACTTTCCACAGCCGATGTTATTGGTCAGGACTGTATATTCTCAGTTAAGAGTGAAAACTGAATGTCCTCCATCTGTAGTCAAAAGGATAAAAAGTCTGCTGCTCCGCAGCAAGAGCTACTGATGCAGGCAACTGCTAAATGTCATTCTTCACCTCATGGTAGTGGAGTCTTCACAGAAAATTCTGAAGAGGAGGACGTGAGTTTGGATTAAGGTTTTCTTTCCCATCAACTGCTACTATACCATTTCATGCAATATGAGGACCTAGTATTTAGTCTGTTTTTTGCAATAGTTTTGAGCTGGAAAATTTGTTTAAATAAACTATCTGCTGCTACTAGAAGATTGAATTATATAGAATGGTTTGGGTTGGAAGGGATTTTAAAGATCATCTAGTTCCAACTTCCCTGCCAGGGTGAAGGACACCTTCCGCTAGGTCAGGTTATTGTAGATCAGTAGGAAGGATAGCACGTTGTTTAAAGAGTCTCCTTTTCAAGTACCAAGGTCAACCTAAGCATGACTAACACTGCATCTTTTTCAACCCCTTTTGTATTTGCTTATAAAATATTTCAATGGAAAAATGGTTAACAATTGAGGAAAAGCAACAAACATTGAAAATATCCACAAAATATGTTATTCCCACAATAACTGTCTACTAAGCAAAAGTTTTCTTCGTTTCAAAATCATATACTTCAAAGTTAGAAAAGGCTGGATCTCAGATTACTGATGCAATCTTGTTTTACTTCCTTGAGTGTATTATAAACTTTAACTACAGGACCAGCTTCCGCATTGTTCATGGAACCCTGTTCTCGCCTGGTCACACTAGAGGCTAGAAGTTAAACTGAAAGAATAACAATTTAGGCTGAAAATTTGGAGAAGCAGCATTAGAATAGAAATAATAGTTTCACACAAGATTTAATTCACTGAAGAGAATTCCAGGTTTTAGAAACTGATTAGAAAAACATCTGTGGGCGAAGGATCTCTTAAGATACTGGGGAAGGATCTCTTAAGCTCCCTTCCAGCCCTGACCTATGTGGTTCCAGCTTTGCATGACCTGCAGGACTGAGAGGTGGGGATGAATTTTGATAATGAAATATATGATCAGGCATCCCTGCAGGGCACGTTTGCATGCATTCATAACAGGGTGGAAAAATGATGTGAGTAACTGGTGACCAGCAGTAGCAAAGTGCCAAGGGTGTGATGGCACCTTGAGGGCATCCATGCCTGGTCTGCAGGTTTGTTAAGGAGATGAGAAAGCGGGTATGGAATGAGGAAGAGAAATTAAGAAAGAACGGTAGAGAGAGACTCGTGATTAAAAAAATAGCTGTAGCTTTGAAAATACAGATTTACATCTGCTTTTGCCATAAAGCCCTTGGACAGCTCTTGGTAAGTTATTTAGGGAATTGACTCATAAACAGTCACTAATTGTACGTTACCAACATTTTGCATATTTGACTGGAGTCTAGAGTCTGAGTTATACAAGTGCTGAGCACACAGTGCTGCAAATTAGATCGATAGAAGTGGGGTTTAGAATACAGGCACTTGGAAAATCAGGCAATAGATATTGCAATTGGATATCCGAAGTGACGGATATTTTTTAACCTTAGTCTGTATGTCTCAGGTTCCCCACACTAAAGTGGTGATTATAAAATGCCAGAAGTCACAGGCTGTGGTGAAAATAAATTGATTGACGTTTGTAAAGCACTTGTGAGTGCATCATGAAAATGACGATAGTAGTCATCCTATCTTCAGAACAGGATTTGAATGGAGTTTAGTGAAGGGGTTTGAGGCCACGAAATGAGGTGAGAATAAAATACTGACTGCACGATAACTAATGATAACACAGTGCTGAGTATATGACAACATGCTGCACAGTTGAGGATCCATCTGTGCTGTGAAGGACGACTTTGAGAAAATAGCATAAAAATCATACAATTACATACTGTTCCATAATGCAAGCAGCACTGTAATTCTTTTATTTCTTGACTTTGTAATTCTTGTCTGTATTGCCTTGCCAGCAATCTTACAATACAGATGTCTTAAGTGAATTTCCTTTTTATATGCAGTTTGATAAAATATGAAAAGCTTGTTGAGAGCTGGAATCTGTATGTCCATTGCATGGTCATCTGTCCCTCTGATGTGCTGATGGTCTACTAACAGTGGGTGCATCGTGATTTGGAGGAGAGAGGGATTACCTGCCTGGCTGGAGTGACAGGTAGCAGCTGTTAGAAAGGATCTCATTTGGTGCCCCTGTACACAAGTTATTTTCAGGGTAGAGGCATGTGTAGTCAGAGTTGAGCCCGTGAAGGGTAGGTAGTAGAGATGTCTCACCAAACCTCCTGAGCATGTGCAGACTATAGCTTCTCAGAAGCATTTATCTGGGCCAAATGTAGGTGGATTTTTGTGAAGGAGGGAAAAAGACTATTCCTAAGAGGAAGACACTCCTTTCTTTGCCCTAGGAAGTGTCAAGTGCTTCTCAGATCCCAGGAAAGCTAGAGAATTAAAAACCAAACAAAACAAAAATCCCAGTTAAATTAAAAGTTGCTAAACAACCATATACCCCTGATTTTAGTCAACACACATGGAAAATACTAATCTGTTATTGTGATTGCAAGGAATAATGTTATATAGGTTCCTACAATTCAAATATTACCATCAGATGTTACTATCACTTGAACACATACAGAGAATTGCAATTTTCCTTTCCATTGGGAAGAGATTACAGCTCTCTGATTTCTTACACCAGATCTTATTTCTTAACAGCGTGGAGTACAATACCTTGATGCTTTTCCTAATCTGTTATTGTGATTGCAAGGAATAATGTTATATAGGTTCCTACAATTCAAATATTACCATCAGATGTTACTATCACTTGAACACATACAGAGAATTGCAATTTTCCTTTCCATTGGGAAGAGATTACAGCTCTCTGATTTCTTACACCAGATCTTAACAGCGTGGAGTACAATACCTTTATGCTTTTCAGGATTAGGTTTACTTCAATGTAACCATGCATGAAAGATCCACTTTAATTCTTTCTTTAAATAAAAAAGGCAGGGTTTTTTTACCCTCCATGCACACCAGAGCCGGTCTTTGCTTCCTCTGATACCTTCGGGTCCCTTCTTGTTGTCCAATATTGAAATGCTGTGTTACAGCAGTAGGTAATTTAGACAAGGTCTGAACCATGCAAACGCGCTTCTGGGTACATTCTGCCTCTAGAGAGCTTAGTATCAGAGAAATCTCTAATAAATCGAGCCTAGTAACCTACGTTGTGAGAGAGGAACCTGTTTCCCCATCCTGTTGCTGTGCTGGTGTTTTACCACACGCGCTGGGGCAGTGTCACGTGTGTGCTCCGTAGCTCTGCTCCTGCGGGCTGCAATCTCCAAGACAGCGTTGAACGGTGGAGCTGAGCACCCCAGGTTGTAATCAATGTTTGAAGAAGTAATGTGATGTGCATGAGAACAGGTGCTTCCAAACACACACATATGGTGGCTGTCTGGGAGCGGTGCGGTGGCAGATCCTGGTGAAATGTGTGGTGAGGAGGAGATGTTTCGTTGCTTGTTAGATAGAGTTCATGTATCAATTCACTGTCATATTTGCATGCTGACTGATGCAAGGACGCAGTTCAGCACAGATTACAAGAAAAGCCTGGTAAAATATTTGTACTCTGATGCTTTCATGCATTCTAGGAATTGTTATTTAGCTTGTTTCTGATATCCAGTGTTTCAAGCTACATGGATGTTCTGCAAGACCCATAAAAATTGCACACAAAGTGTCTGTATTTTGTGAATGTTCGTGCATTTCTTTCTTCTGGCAAGAATTGTTGCTGGACTTCAGATCATTTTCAAACCACTTTCACTGCTCAGAGTGACTGCTCGGAAGTGGTGAGAATCTATTTCATCTTACAAATAGCTAGTCCTAAATCATTGCTTTATTTGAGCTTTGACAAGAAGTAACTCACTGTTTTATCTCTCTAGCAGTCCTTGAAGGGATTGTATATATTACACAAGATGGTTTTAGAGTGCTCATTTGCCACTAGTTCATGTAAATAGTGAATTATTTTTCCTTCCACGTGGGCTCTGCACCTTCGGTAGCAAATCTCAAAAGTTCATCCACAGTAACCTCTACCTCAGGAATTGCTCCTTAAATTTTTTAATATGAATAATTCCCAATAAACTTTTAAATGTGCTGAAGTCAGCAATATGCTGTTCTTATGCTGCCTTTTTCTCCTTTCTGTCCAGGAACCCAGCGGTAACCACACTCCTCCTCAGTTGTCTCCATCACTCAGCCAAAGCACTTTCACTACTGGTGGCTCCCTGGACGTTCCCCACATTATCATGCAGGGCGATGCAAGGAGAAGACGAAATGAAAACTATTTTGATGACATTCCCCGGTCAAAGCTGGAGAGGCAGATGGCACAGGTAGGATTAAAACGATGCCTTTGAAAGGCTGCGCCTTCCTGCAGTTGGTTACAGAACTAATCCTAACCATAGCTGTGGTTCACAGACGAAGGCCGAATTGTAAACTGCAAAGACTGAGAGATTTTCCAAGCTATCTGTTCCAGTTCGCTACATTTCAAATAGTGTAAGTTACTGTGCAGGTTATCCTGAGAGGTAGAATTCTGGGGTTGTTTAGGTGCCTGGAGGTGCACCAGAGTATGCAGGCTCCCACCGGCACCAACTCTGCCGCTCATTTCTGTAAGAAGATGCAGATTCCTCAATTTCTGAGCACCTTAGATAAAAATAAGCTGACATCAGTTCACTGGCAGAAGCTCAGAGGACTTGGGGGGTGGCGACTGCTGCATCTGTTAATGGAGAGGGTCAGCATTCTGCTAAACTTTGTGGTCTGTGTATATATCTTGAGCGCTTAAAAAAAGATTCAGCTGTGCAACGACTCATTTGAGCATTGCAACAGCACTAGACTCAACTGGATGTTAAATCAAGCCGCTCATGTCAGAAAGCCTAAAGTAGGCTCCATCACTGAATTTTTTCCCTCAACCACTGTAAGAGTACAGATAATTTTATGTTGCGTATGTTGACCAGGGTGATGTCTTTTACCATTCTCAAGGGCAGTAACGTTAAGGTTGGACATCCTACTGGCAAAAAAAGCTTTAGGATGAACTCAGCTGGTTTTTGGTGACATGTACAATGAAAGATGACCAGGTCTTAAGCCACACAGTGCTTTGCAGCGTGTGATGGAATAGGAATCTGATTTGCCCTTTTATCAGAAGGAGGTGGGCAGCCAGCATGGTTCCCAGAGCAACTCACTCCACGAGGGAGCAGGGTGCTGCATCCTGCCCTCTGTGAGGTTTCGCAGTGGTGCTCTGCCTGCCGTGACCCAATATAGAGCCTCTATCCAAAATCAAGCCTCAAAATGGGAACTGCTATGCAAATAACTGTTATGGCAAACATAATGAACGAAAGGCTGCAGTCTCTCAGCTAATTGCATGAATAAGAAGAAGTGATTAAATAAACAGGCAAAGCGAGGTGCTGCTGTTACCTGGGAACACCGAAATAAATTGAATTCCATTTGTCCATAAGAGATTTCTAGGGAAGTGAAATTGCATTTGGTTGGGTGGGGCTGTTTCCTTGCCTTTTTTTAATCTCCTAATTTTCTACTGTATAATTTTATTGTACTGAATTAAGGGGAAAGTTGTCCAGTGAATGTGATTGTTTTCAAACCAAAGTCCACTGGGCTTTTGTGGCAAGGTTGAGCTGAAGTCCAAAGGAAAAGTCCAGTTCTTAACATGAAAATATTTCTTTGAAGGTCACGAAATTTAGGTGTTTGAGCGTGAAATATACACTTGCTCATGGCTGAGTAGACTGGTTTATCTACTTAGTTCATTTTATCACTTGGTTCACAAATCTCTATTCTCACTTCCTCTGTTAGTCATCAACATTGGGAAAAAAAACACCACAACCATACTAGCAATTCTTCTTGTCTCCTTTTCAGTCATTTCTTTTCCTGTTTGAAGTCCTGATATTCCCAAAAGGCATGACACTCTTATATATGGCGCCTGAAGATTTTATTTGAGCTGTTGAAAATTTCTTTTCCAGAAGACTGTGATATGTTGCATGTTCCAGGAGAAAACTGAACTATTAGTGCTTTCTCCACTCCAAACCACTTTATAACCAGTTAAGAGCTGGTTTGTTGGTTGGGGTTTTTGTTTGGGGTTTTGTGGGGGTTTTTTTGGTGGGAGTGTGTACCCACTGAATGAATGTCTTCAGTGCCTTCTATCTAACTTTCACTATATAATGTAGCAGTCATCCTTTGGGAATTCAAGGGGGAAATGGATTAAGATTAAATCCATAAAACAGTGTTTTTGTGTTAGTGCCTGAACTCCGGTCTGTTTGGACTCTCTTAGCTCTGCTCCCAAATTCTGCACTTCTGATTTATGTAAAATTCCCTTTGACTTTAATGGGAAAGTCAATGACTCCCTCTGGTGATCATTCTCACTAAATTGGACTCAACCCATTAAGAGGCTAATCAGGGATTTCTTTAACCATTCTAGCCCAAAAATAGGTTTTTAAATTTATTTTTTGGAATATGTACTTTCCTAAAATGAACTATAAGTCATTCCATCTTTTCCCCCAAAGCCCCTTTGAAATTAAAGGTAAAATAATTGTTTCTGGAAAATAAAGGAGATCTGACTGATTCTTAACGTGAGCCTTCTGCTCCATGTATTTTTTTCTTTTATCTAGCAACTTCCTCATTGCAGGTTACAGGTTCCTCTGACCTGTGTCAGATCAACAAGAGCTTCTGGGCTGATACCAGTCCAGCTTTCTCGCAAACAGAATGATACAGAGGAGTTACTGGAATTACTTTCAGGATGTTTGTCTTAAGTCTTTGTTTGCTAGGCTATCTGCATGCCGCTGTATGAATCTGCATGTTTACTGGATGCTGTAGTAGACAGATGTGTCTAATGACATCTTTGATGCTGTGATTTTTTTTGGAAAGTTGTGTCCTTGACGGTGAGATAAATGGGTATTTTTATGGCCTTGAAGAGAGAGACCAGAACGATATTGAGAACATATTCATAGAATTGTTTAAATTTACTTGATTTAATTTCAGAAATGTTTGCATAAGGCTATTTTTAGCTTCAGTTTAAAATCTAAAATCTGAACATGTTTTGAGAAAATGGTGAGATCTGATGTTTCCGTCCTTACTATGGCCTGTATTTCCCCTAAACTTTTACATGACACTCATCAAGCACGTTGGTCTTTGCATCAGATGCCAACCAGCTTTTGTTAAAACAATGAGCACATTGGCTTAAATCTGTTTTCCTTTGATATGCTAAATGGGTTTAAACAGTTCTATAAACTGTATTCAAATCTGCTTATAAGTAATACACCACTTTGTTTCCTGGAGGAAGCAGGGATATACATTTACTTAATGTGTGTGGTGTTGTCTCAAGGACAGCGTGTACCTTCATTCACAGTTCCCTGACAGACTGTTTATGACCTGAAAGGAAAATCCTGATATAAATAAGGAGTCTAACTGATTTAGATTCCCCGCTGGAGTAGGTTTGGTCATCCAAATCTCCAGTTGGTCATCCAACTTTGAAAGTCTTTGACGTCTGGTTGGATAGATCACAACTGCTGAAAAGATGATACAGAAGGCTGTAAAATGGTTTGTTTTCCAAAAAAAGGAGGGGGGGAAATCCCAAAAGGATTGAGTAGTATGAGTCATTTTTGACTGTGGATGTTGCATTCTGAGCCTGCAAACTACAGACTAATATGATCAATTAAAGTAGTTTAAAATAGCTGAGGTTGCTCTTAAGATTCCCTAAACCTTTAAAATAGAACCGAAATCATACAGGCAAAGCCTAAGGACTTTGCAACTGAAATCAATAGGTATAGTCCCATTGAAGGGATTGGGCTGAAGAAAGGCTCACCCCTGAAATCATGCTGAGGGGTGCGAGTATATGTTTGTGGGGTAGAGCTTTGGAGGTTCATTACAATACACCAATTATAATGTCGGGTCTTGAGGATTTGTAGTTATCCGGGCAGCAGAGAAGTTTTAGGCGCTAGCTCCAAGCACATCCCGGACTGCCAGCCCCAAGGCTGTTGCTATTTATTGCTCCAGCTGGTGACATACGGTGCCTGTAGCCACTGTGGTCCATCAGGCCTCTCACTGCTGTGTTTGGACCACCAGGCCCTACCCCAAACTGGGGACGAGGACCAAAAGCATCCTCCCGGTGGCAGGTGGGCAGGGAAGTGCAGGGAGCACCTCGGCCCATTCTGCTCCTTGCAGAAGCAGAGTGGTCAGCAGGCATCGCCCCAATGCCGATGGATGCTCTCCCATGGGGCTGAACCCCTCGTGCGCCCCAAGATGGGAGAGAGGGCTGTCGTTTCAGGAGGAGGTGGGTGGACGCCTCGTTAGGGCTCTGGGGAAAGCTCCCAGCTGCATCTTGCTTATGGCAGAATAAACTGGTAATGAGTCAGAGAAAGCTTTCTGGTGGGATAAACCTTGTCATGGCCCATATGGGGGCCACTCCAGTGGGCTGTGGTGGAACAAAGAGAATCCTTCAAGATCTCAGAGAGTGGGAAAAATTACTCACAAAAGCTGGCAGGAGAAGTTCTTTCCCAGAGATGCTACATTTTGAAAACCTTTCTGAGTTCTTCAGTCCATGCTCCAAGGGCTCTCACTATTTATTTATTTATTTCTAAGACACCAGATAACTTAGATGTAAGCTCATTGTAATGACAAGGTAGTAAGTCTGAAGTAAAGCTACCCAGATTGTTGGAATTCTGCCTTGTAGCATTATGGCATGAGATATAATTCATTGCAGGATTAGGATTGATATGCAAGAGACAGGCATTTAAAAGGAGTTACTACCAGAGATCCTTTGTCTACAGCAGAGAAAAAGTGTAATAAAACAAAGAACAGAAATCACAAAGGCAGGTTTATAGGAAAATTATGAAATATTTTTGCTACTTTCAGAAATAATACTTTCAACTCAATAGTATCTTCCAAATACTTCACAGATACTAATGTACTCATATTTCATAGAATCATAGAATCATAGAATGGCATAGGCTGGAAGGGACCTTAGAGATCATCTAGTCCAACCTCCCTGTTATGGGCAGGGACGCCACCTCTCGACTAGACCAGGCAACACATGGGGACCGAGCATTTCCAGTGTGCTGTGGGACTATGTGGTTTAAAATCATGTTTTCTGTTTTACAGCTAAGAAAATTGAGGTACAGGATGTTGCAGGTTGGCTAAGATGACACTGAAAGTTTCAAGGAGACAAAAATAAAACTCTTGTCACATAAGGCCCACCTTCATTTTTTTAACATTTAGCCTCAGTATGACATTTTTTGTTTGCTTGTTACCTGTTTGTTTTTCTGTTTTACCTGTTTCTCTGCCTTGGAAGGATTTAAAGATTACAGTAAATGAAGGAAAATATGCTCAGGAG